ATTTTTTGCCTAGCCTCCAGACAACAAAAAACAACAAGAAGAATCACCTTCAGGCAAGGAAAAGTTTCAGTTCAAGCAGCACAAGCTTCAGAAAGATATGAACAGATAAAAAACAGGAGGCTGGAAGTCAAAGCTTACAGACATGACCATGCACATGTCACTGATGTTTGCAGTATGCTTTTTTGAAGCTATTATTCCCAAGACAGCTAGAAGTGGTGGCCCATAGCTCACAAAGCCCAGGGATGAGCAAGGATAAGGGTTAGGATGGGTGTTGGAGATCAGCCTTACTCACTGCACTTGGTGATGGCAATCCCTGCTAGGTTAGGTGATTGCTGTGTCCCCAGCAGGACCCTCCTGGGTATTTCAGACCTCTGCATTTCAAGCTGCCACGTAGGATTTAAGGCTGTTTTTATAGCTAAAAGTAGTAAAAATTTAGGTTTTCCGGCCTGAAAGTCATGGCATTGAGATCTGTTTACCCCTCCAACCCGATTTCTGAAGCAGCTTGCTTTTGGCATTTCAAAAATTCAAATCAGTTCATGCTGACCTTTTCTCTCCAAAGGCATGGGGATGGACACATGCATCCCATGTCACAATTTGCATTGTTTGCTGTTGTTCTCCTCATCCCCAATGTGCCTACGGGGCAATGCACACGCAGTGCTTCTGTAGCAGGTGGGCAAACTGGGGCTATGAAATAATGCAATAACCCATCCAGCCACATCTATTTGTTTTGAAAAATTATTAAGGGCAGCTACTACTTTGTGCTGATGGAAACATTTTGCTGGTCTTCTAGAGCAAGTGCATCTCCTTTTGTGCTGTAACCAAGCAGCGTTTGAGCTCAGTGGTAGAACTTCTCCAGAATAATTTGGCTACATCATATTTTCCCTTCTCTTTATGAATATAGAGAGTCTCCAACCCTGAAAATGCACACCTGGGTAAGAATGACTGGAGAGGTCACTGTCTAAAATGCTTGCCCAGTCTTCCTCAGGTGTTATCTCCAGGCAATCCAGGAAGGGATTTCTTCTTCCCCGTTCACCCCATGACATCTTACTGCCAAGAGAAGGTGGAGAAAGGAAGGAACGCATCACCCATGGGGAAGGGAGACCTGCAGCTTTTCCTTGGGCAGGTGAACAGGCTTTTGGGTGGATGGCATGTGTTCTATGGAGGAAGACTGCAGATTTCTTTTGTCACTCGTGTCCAGCATCATTGCATGCTTTCCTCATGCCCTACCTCATGACTGCAGGCAGCCCTCTTGCTCATCAGTCACCTAGCAGAAAAATCACTTCCTGCTCTAAACCACCGGAGTCTGTCAGAAAACAAACTTTCAAGTTAACATCCCATTAAAAATGAATGTTCTGAGGATGCTTGAAGTGCAGGCACGCTCTGGGCAGGGAGACTTCAAAGGAGGCAAAAACACAGCAGTGGAGGCTGTGCTGAATAGGCATTGCAGCTAGGACACCATGTAACCTGGTTAGTCAAGACTTGTGCAGCTACATGCAGGGCCAGTTAGGTGTGTGCCTGCTGATATAACTTGTAAGAAACCCACAATTGCAATTCAAGCCCCATTCAGCAGCAAAGGATGCTCAGTCAGGAGCTGCATCCCCTTCAGGGGCAGCATCACCAACCCAGGAGCACAGGCATTATGTCTTGCACCAGCACACTAAACAGTGCTGAGGTCTCAGCTTTGACCCGTGCTGCTTTTCACTTTCCTGAGATGAAGAAGAACAGGGAATAAAATGGTCTATGAACTTCTCAGTGACTGCCAAAACCAGTACCAGGTGGTGCAGGACAAGCAGCTGGCATTTCCTGCACCATGCCACTATTTGTGCTTCTCATCTGCCTTCTCACTGCCCACTCCCAGCATGGCTAGAAGCACAAAGGAAGGAATAGGGCATACATGGTCACAGGCTGGGCTGGGACCTTCCTGGTGGAGTTTTGTCTGGCTGAAAGTCACATGGAAAGAGAGAAGGCAGGTCCTGTCTGCAGAGCCATTTTTGACATTTCCAACTTTAAAACCAGCTCAAAAATCATCCTTATGTGTGTGTGTATATGTATACACACACACACACACACACACACACACAAATACTTACACAAATACTTAAGTTTTTCCAGTGATTTCCTGTTGCTTTTGCATTCTTGGCTGGGTCATGGAAATGATTTCAATCCCTTGTAATCAAACCCAACCCTAATGCTCTATAATTGAAGACCTCAGGGACCTGTAGCAAAAATTTCCTCCAGTCAAGGCCCTGTTCATACTACCTTACATCAAGCCTGCAGCTCTCAGCTGCTGTGGTTTCCATCCTGGATTCCTGAGCTGGGGAATGGTTTAAAGGAAATTAAAAAAAAGAGGAGCAGCAAGTCCTCAGTTGACTGAATGTCAGTCTGTGTCATAACAAAAACTGCACTGGGTCTGCAGTGCACAACAGCTGTATTTTGCGTTCTATGCTGTGGGATAACAGAATTCTTGGAAATTATGTTCAGCAGAGGGCTTCATTGTGTACCAGCTCAGTCCAGACACTATAACCACGCATAGCTGTTGTGTAATGTTATGCCCTTCAGCTGAAGGATCACAAGCTGCTTTATAGGCACTAGTTAATTCTAACCCACATGACTACATGTAAGAGAAGTGGGGATGTACAGTGATTTCCCATTCAAGGAAACCAAGGCACATGAAGAGAAAGAAATTACATAGGCAAACTGAGTGAGCTGGGATTAAAACTGAGCTCTGCAAGGTCCAGCTCCCCTACCCCACCATCTTAGTGCCATGCCAGGAAGAAAATCTGCCTCATCACCATGAAATCTGCTATGGGAGGCCAGAGCCAGTTGATGGGTACAAAGGCATAAGGCACCGCCTGGGAGGAGACACGACTCATCTCACTGCTTCTCTGCCTACCATGAATGCTTCCACACACCCCACCACCAAAGCAAGTCACACTGCAAGCTGGATGACCACCCCCTCCTGTTACCATTCCTATGCTTTCAGTCTTGCTTGATCACCTGGTCTTGTGCTTCCCATCATGGGGTTTATGAAGCATTAGTGAGATGTATGACTTCAGAAAGGGACTCATGCATACAAACCCAAATCACAGACTCACACACGAGATGGGGGGACAGCAAAATGAACAAAGGAACAGGCTGCATTTGACTTGTTACTTGCTTGTGAAAGTGTTCCATGGTAGCACTACCACACAAGATGGCATGCTATTTTTTATCTAGGACTAGTCTTGGGATTAAAAAGAAAACAATATGGCCTGTGCTTCTGTCCTTCAGCTGGATCCACGGCAGCACCAGACAACACTCAGCTTGTGTAATGCTATAATGGGGTGACAATAGCAGCATGGCAAAGTCTTTGGCTACAGCAAATGAGAATGATCCCAAATACAGCAGCCACGGATACAGAAATGAAGGAAAAGAACTGCTTACCTTTAGAAAGCCTCAGGTACACAGGGATGTCCAACAAGAGATACCTTCACCTCTACTGCCAAACCTTAAATGAGGGCTGGAAAGGGCTGGATCCTGACTCCATGCCTTCTGGTCACTCAAGTGCACTGCATGCAGCTGAGCTCCCCTGGGTTGGCTCTGCCTTCCCAGGTGCTCAATTACTGCTTCAGGCCGTGTAGCACTGCCACTACAGCTTGTTTGACCCATTCCTACAAACCTAAAGTGTTGGAGATCGTGCTGTACAGAAGATAAGAGATTGACTGCTGCTTGGTCTGATCTGCTAACTTTACATGGTAGAAAAAAAAAACCCAAAACAAGAGCATGGGAGGGTCGCTCCCAAGAGATAAGTGGGCTGCGAGTTCTTTTGGCATCGGTTGTCCAGGAATATGTGACCGTGTCCATTCTGTGAATCAGAACCAAAGGAGACAAGGTGTCCTCCCCCTCCCTTTATTTTATATCTCTTTCAGAGCCCCTACATGCCCTCTCGCTGGAGCTGCAGCAGTGTGAGCATTAGGAAGGGGCTGGTCTGCCATCCACAGGACATGCACACATGCAAACCACTGCTGCTCACACACCCCGAGCAGTTCAGCTTTCCTAAGTGGTCCTGGGAAGCCTGTCAAATCCTGAGCTTGGCTGCGGAATGTGGTTGTAATTAGATAATTAATAATTTTGAGAAGGAAAGGAGAGGAAATAAGCTAAATGGAATCTTTCCTCAGTGAGGAAATAATTATATCTGCTTTTTGATATATGAGCTGAGGCGGCTTTCTGGAGGCAGCGCCGGCAGCTTGCATAGAAAGCCATCCCTCCCCCAGGTTAGATGGGACATCCCATGGGCACAGGCTAGCAGCAGCAGGTTGCTGCAGACCACAGCCAGCCCTGAAGGCAATGTGGCTCTGTGACATGCAGCTGCACCTTGCCACCTCTCTGAGAGCAGAGCAGAGCAGTGACAATGAGTAAGGTCAATAGGAGCCGTGTGGATCACAGCATCACAGCCCTTGGGTCTGGAGGAGCTGCTGTAAGCATAGGGGGTTTTCCATAGAAGCATTACTCCTGCCTATGGGTTTAGCAGACTGCATACTCGTGCATTATAACCATAAGCCAAAGGAATTGTTAGGTTTATGTTGACTTCTTTCTTTCTGTGGATGTTCCTGGCTCTTACATAAGTGTGTTACCCCAGGATGGAAAGAAAATGCATTTGCTTCCAGCATGGCCTGCCTGGTTTTGCAGGAGGAGCTGAGAGGCACCATGGGTGGGATTGCTGAAGCACGCCTCGGGTGAGAGCACAGTGCTAAATGCAGCAACAATTGGAAGCAGCACACGTGCTGAGCATTCAGTCTCTCTGTTTTGCTTGTCTGAGAGGCCACGAGGGCTTTTCCTGGTGCAATGGATCTGCTGCCAGATTAACCATGTGCCCTACACCGCCTGCACCAGGCCTGGGTTAGGGCTCTTCAGAAGCACTTCTTTGATTTGCAAAGGAAAAGAACTTACACAGCAATGTGCATCTCACATCCTGTATTCAGTGTATTTATTTTCCCTTCTTTTCCCCCCTCTCTCTCTAGACTGTCCGGTGTCTGAGACTGAAGTGGAATTGGGATGTATCCAAGTTTGTAGCTTCTGAAACCTTAACAACCTCAAGTAAACTGGTCCAAAAGACCCTTCTTGACCTCCCTCACTCTGAACTCTTGCAGAGCACTTAGACTGAGCAGGAGCCAGCACCAAAGCTATGGGTCTGAACCTTCGCACCATCTCTCCAAGTGACTGATCACAGAGAAGCGAGAAGCAACATTCCTGACTGTTCATCTGTTCATCGTTGTTGGGTTTTGTCTGTGTGTCCGTCTGGGTGTTTGGTTTTAGTTCTTTTTTTTTTTTTTTTTTCCTTTCTCCTTTGCTGAAAAAAAATCTTAATTCAGGAACACATTTATGAGAAACCTTTGGGTTCGGATTTTACTTCCCCTTAGCTGTATTCTTTTTGTGTGTGCGTCTACTTTTTAAAGCTCAAAACCTGATTTCTTGTACAGTAATGTCAAAACTGGACCAAGGCTCTCAGAAAAAAGAAAAAAAAAAAAAAAAAAAAAAACAAAAAAAAAAAAAAAAAAAAGGAATTAAAAAGGCCACAATGTCCCCCAGCTCCCTGCATGATTTGTTTCAAGTACAGCCTGGATTACAGACTGCCTTCCACACTCTACTGCCTCTTCCTTGTTGCTCCATGATTTGCTACCACTCCTGATCCCCCCACTTTTTTTTTTTTTTTTTCATTTTTCTGTTCCAGTGTATATGTTGCTTATTTGTTTTATTTATTGAGATATTTTTAACGAGCTAAGAGACTGCAATGTCGCTGTGTATACTGCTTCTCTTGCCAGTAAAAATAAAGATGTCATGCAGCTACTGAGGGTATGTGATTTATGTTCTGACTGCACAGCTCCGAGCAGAAGCCGAGGAGCTGAGCCACTTCCTTGCACCCCACCAATGTTTCAGCACTCACCAGTTCAGCTAACGTCTATTTCCCAGGTTAGCAGGCAATGGGCACAGCATGCATCCTGCAAGCCCTGTAGCACGGCAGCTGCAAGAACTGTGGGAGGGGCTCACGCCTGGACACACTGCTTGTTGCAAACTGCACCTTTTCAAATAAAACCTTCAGCCTTTCCACAGAACTCTTGGCAATAGATGAGTTGTGGATGCTCCATCCCTGGAGGTGTTCAAGGCCAAGCTGGATGGAGCCCTGGCCAACCTGATGTAGTGCATGATCTGCTGGTTGGTAACATTGCTTGTGGCAGGGATTGGAACTAGATGATCTCTGAGGTCCTTTCCAACCCAGGCTATTCCACAATTCTTTGAATTTTATGTAGATGGGATGCAGTTCAGCTGCTCAGCCTTGGAACTCCTATTCATTTATGGACTGCATATTGTATGCAGAAGCGATTCATAAAGTGCAAAATATCACAGATGCACCACAACAGTGGTCACCTGGGATTGCTGCTCTGCTCCTCCTTCCCCCTCACCTTCCACCCTGGGACCACCAATAGGCTCTGCTGGTGCTCATCAGCCTTCCTTTTCTGTCTCCCAGAGCCCCGTAAGGACTCTTGGGCATGCAACATGCTGAAGTGACATCTCAGTCTGAGTATTTTGTCTCAGCAGAGCCGAAAGTGCCATGTAAGAAGGTGAATTTAACAGATGTCATCTAACACTGCATGTCATATGGCAAGCAGTATTTTTTCCTGTGGGTACGTGTTAGTTTTTGCATTTTTGTGAATCTTTAATGATGCTGCAAATTGTGCCAAACTTATTTCACCACAAGGTGAGGCACCATCAAAGTACAGACACCTAAATCTTGCTTCAGCCCCATTCAGTTTGCCAGAAGAGTCTGTTGTGCTGCTTTGCTTTCCCAAGAAATGACCAGAACCAGCAGACAGCTGGCGGGTCAAACCTGCTAATCACAGAACCATAGAATCATTAAGATTAGAAAAGACCTCTATGATCTCCAGGTCCAACTGTCAGCCCATCATCACCATGCCCACTAACCCTGTCCATAAGACACTGCCAAGCCACAGATGAGATGTATGCAACCACAGCAGTGCCACTGTGGTTGCCATATGCCTTCCTTAATGCTTACCAAGGATCAGAACTGCTGAATTTTGTCCTCCAACATCATGCATGCAAAAACATGTAATGGCAGACCAAAGCATTAGCACTCTCTCTTTACCCCTGCACTAGCAGACAATGCTAGGTGAATAGTGACAATAAATGCTCACAAGCACTAGTTGGCTCCAGTGAATTCTGGAGTTGACCAAGTTTCTGCAGCTGAACAAGCATGGGGAGGTAAATATGCAGCCCAGAAATAAATTCAGAGTACTAGGATACAATATTTTTATTTTTAGGCAGAAAAAGAGGTAGTTATGTAAACTTGTTCTCCCAGGTAACTAGTGGTAGGATGCGAGGTAATGGCCTTAACTTGCAATAGGGGAGGTTGAGATTGGACATCAGGAAAAATTTCAAGTCCAAATGAGGGGTGAAGCTTTAGAATGCGGTACCTAGGGAAGTGGTGGAGTCAGTGTATCTGGAGGTGCTCAAGAAACATGGAGATCATAGACTCATACAATCACAGAATCATTAAGGTTGGAAATGACCTCTAAGATCATCCAGTTCAACCACCAACCCATCCCACCGTGCCCACTGACCACATCCCTCAGTGCCACATCTCCACATTTCTTGAAAGCCTCCAGGGATGGTGGCTCCACCACGTCCCTGTGCAGCCTGTCCCACTGCACTGCCACTCCTTCTCAGCAATTTCTCCTAATATCCAACCTCAACCTCCCCAGGAGATGTGGCACTTAGGGACATGGTTTGGTGGGCACGGTGGTGACGGACAGTTGAACTAGATGAACTGGGACTGGGACTAGACGAACTTGGTCTTTCCCAACATAAATGATTCTATGATTCTTGTCAGACAAAAAGACAACAGTGCTGTGAGGCTCCGATGAGAGGTTTCAGCACCAACATATCAAGCTAATTTGAGAGCTGCAAACTCTCTGAATATCACATTTCAACCAGGAGACGTTTGAATTGATGGATAAAGAGACACATGTTTCAATCAACTGCTGAAAAGATGAGTTTCTCTTTTACAAGCTGCAGCCCATAATCAGCACCATGGGGCTGATAGGAAGCAGCCAAAGACAAGGTAAAATCCAGATCCTAAAACTGCAGCTGTGTTGTCATGTACAGCACATGAAGATTTATTTAGTTTTTGTTTCGTGTTTTTTTGTTTGTTTTTTGCTTTTGAATATGTAGCAGCTTTTTCAATAGGGCACCCCGCTCGTCAGACTGTGACTGACTTTGTCCTTCACAATCCCATCCGCCCATGAAACCCCACAGCTCTGTGGGAGACTGAGGGCAGGGACAAGCTCTCCTATGCAAAAGGGAATGAAACCACAACCCCTAAGGCACCAGGTTCAGCCACACAGAACAGATAGTCAAAACAGGGACTCCTCCAAACCTACAGGGCCTGGCTGATCTCGGCACACATGAGGTCCTGATGCAAGGAGTGTGGGTGTTTAACTCAGTACCAGATCAGCTAGGAGTTGCCAAAGCTCCCATTTGCAAAAGGGAAAAAGTTTTCATCTGCCATTCACAGCCACTTTACAGCTAGAGCTCCAGGCCAAATGAACAACTACAACAATAACAACAAAAACCCCAAACAAATCCAAGCTCAGAGTTCCCCCTTGGGATCCCTCCTCTCTATGGCCTCCCCCCCAGGCCACCCATTTTCACGCAGCCGCTGACAGCAAGGAGGAGCCAGGGAGGGAAAAGTGCTGGCAAATCTTCCCAGGGATAGTTTGCAAACTTGGGAGTCCTCGCTTGGCTGGGACCACCCAGGCACCATCTATGGGATGAGAATTCAACTCCCCTTAAAAGATGATGGCTACAAGAGGTAGTCGGTCTGCGATGGTTAGCACCATCTTGGCAGAGACTTCAGCTAGAGCAACACACAACATGACTGGGAGAAGAGAGAGCCCTTGAGGTTTCAGATGCATCCATACAAAGCCAGCTGTAAGATCAGGATAAAAATACGCTCCTATTCACTTCTGCAAGGGAGAAGAAGGGCTGCTTTGAAACACAGCGACAGGGCCTTTTTTGGGGTTAAACAAAGATAAAACTTGGATGCAGAAATTACAAGAAATGTGAAGTGCCTGAGAACTTTGCCAGAACTAATATTGCATGTCACCAAGGAGAAACTCACTATCTTCCCACTGGGACTTGGCAATGCCTTCTACAGGCACTGAAACTCGCTTTCTAACCTCTGAGAAGCCACACTGCATCCCTGATTAAGAGAAAAACTGAAGTCATCCTCAAGGCCTTCAATTCTCTCTCTGTGTGCACGCACTGCAATCAAATATTTACCCCAGTGAGACCTGCCCAGCTCGTCTCCATCATCCAAACATCTGACCTTCAGAAGATCAATCCCCAAGTGGCACAAGCAGGCTGTTGTCCCTTTGGCAGTTCATCGACCACATGGGAATGCAAAGGCCACCATGATGCTGATAATGGTGTGTCCCCATGGGAGAGCATCGTCACTAACGTAGCCCAGCCAGGTGTGGGGAACAATGCATCACAATTGGTCATCCCATCTTCAAGGCCAGGTTTCATGGGACCCTGGGCAGGCTGATCTGGTGGGAGGCAACCAGCCTGTAGTAGGGGTTGAAACTGGGTGGTCTTTAAGGTCCCTTCCAACCCAAGCCATTCTCTGGTTCCATGATTCTATGATTCCATGATCCCTATTCCGTATAACTCATATTGCAGTACTGGCATGATTGGGAGGAGGAAACCCCTCCCTTGGGGAACTTCTTCATCTTCTCCAGGCAGAAAAACCCCTTTCCAGAAGCTGCTTCTGCATCAGATGGACTGCCAGAAACCACGGAAGGCAAAAGGAGAGGTCAAGCACAGAAGAGGACCCTCTCATACAGCCCATTTCTTCACTTTCATCACTTAGACATGCTGTCTTCACAATGTGCTTAAATATCATGAGGTTTTGGAGATGACTTTTAACACTTCCTCCCACCTCTAGCACCGAATCAGTAACCATAGCTGCTCTCCTAAGCCCCAATGAGAAGCAAGCACGACCCGCTACCAGCATTTCATCCATGTTTTAATGCAATAATTCAAGCTGATGTAGAGTTTTCAGCTGTGTTTTGATGCTTTTTGTGGTTTCGATGCCACTCCACTTGCCTTTGTAGTCTCAAAATTTGTTTTGAACATGGTGAAGTGCACTCAGCCCTTTTATGATTTCCTGTCTTGTTGCAGAGTCTTGCGCTGAGAGACTTTAGTTGCCTCCTAAATCTTTTTCCAGAACTCTCCTGTCACTTTAAATATCGGCCAGCGTTTTGTTAGCTTCAAGACTTTGAAACAGTATCAAAGTAAACCTCAAAGGAAAATAACGCACTGAAGGGTAAGGTTGGAGCTTAATTCATATTTAAATAAAGATCTTTCACTTCAGCTTGGGTTGTTGCGTAAAATGACTGGGAGCAAACGGATCTTTTAAAGTCCTTATTCCCCTGTGGGTCTATGGGTCTATTTTAAAGTGAGTGGAGTTAGCCTAGCAGGCAGGGCAATGAAATTGCCTTCCCATGAAAAATTCTCTGACACTGGGAAGAAAATGTCTGAGGTTCTCCAGAACCAAGATGGACTTTTTCCTCCCTCCCCTCCTAAACCGTGGTCCCAAAGGACATCTGTAAGCTGCGCTCTCGCCCTGCAGGCAGACAAGAACATTGTCAAAGCTTTTGCAGAAGGAAAGGAAGCGCTAACGATTTATTTGCAAGTAAATATAGAGCTTTAATAGCTTCTTCTCCTCTCCTCTCCTCTCCTCTCCTCTTTTAATAAACCACATTTTTATGA